AGCTTTGTGCTTAATTACAAACAAACAAACAATTTTCCCACATACCTTCAGAGGAATAATCTCTGATGAAAAAAACAGTCTGAGATTCTTAGTGTTTTTTAATTTTTCTTTCTAACTTCACGGAAGTTTAAATAGTATTGTAGTTCAATCATTAAAAAAAAAAAATAATGTGGCACAGATTTCCAGCTTAGTAGGGCACACATGTGGATCTTGCTATTACGAGTTTTTTTGTGTGTTTTTTATAAGGATTGTTTATAAACATTTCAGTGGGGTGTTGGTGTTGCAATGTTTGTACCATAAGTGTTAAAAATAATGTTTAATTCAATACAATGAAGAAGAAGGAACTACAATGTAACTACACTACCCTAAAAAAGGATGAAAAAGTTAATATTGTTATTAACATTGTTTTTGGGACTAACTTGAACCATGTTGATATCGATCTTCTTTTGGTGTTTTTATTTTTTTTAATTTTTCGCACAAATCTACACGAGGGTTATCTGCACAAAGCCGTCCCTAATTGTGAATTGACGGACTAAAAAGGAAGGCAACTAATCAATAGCCAGCTCTTGGGGTACTTTAATCGAATAATAAGATTTGACAGTACCTCTTGTAGGGGCACGCATGGCCTTAAAGTGCAGAGTGCCTTTTTGTAGAAACGAACCGTGAACCCTAAAAATTATAATCCAGACAAATAATAACCATTATATCATGGGGTCTAATTATAAAACCTGGTGTTTAGAATATTTAAAATAAATTGCCATACGTCAGATGCACATTGAGAATCACAAATTTTTATTTATGTTTGTTTGTTTTTTGAATTTCGCAAAAAGTTACACGAGGGCTATCTGCGCTAGCCGTCCCTAATTTAGAAGTGTAAGACTAGAGTGAAGGCAGCTAGTCATTACCACCCACCGCCAACTCTTGGGCTACTCTTTTACCAACGAATAGTGGGACTGACCGTCACATTATAACGCCCCCACGGCTGAAGAGGCGAGCATGTTTGGTGGGACGGGGATTCGAACCCGCGACCCGCAGATTGCGAGTCGAGCTCCCTAACCACCTGGCTATGCCGAGCCACTTTTATTTCTGAAAGTTTGAACTTTGTACAGGACGTTTCAAAACCTTATTATATCTTACTTGCTTTTCTCGTAAACTAGCACTGATTTTATTAGAACAAAGTTTTACCACATAAAAAGTCATAAATATTAATAAAACTTCTGAGTGTAAGTAAAGTAGACTGTATAATAATATGTTAACCACATTATGTCTGCTATATTCAATGTCAATAAAGCCTTTCGTCCAATATCAGGCTTTTCTGACTGGCTGTGATATAACAGATATATTGTTGATTGAGTCACTATTTATTTATATTAGTATATCGCTTGACAACAACTGTTGCGTTGTGAACTGGACTACGTTGGTGAATTATAATTTTTTTATCTATTTTATTTATGTCACAACACATCGGAATTGGGACAAAATGGTTTAACACTAGACTATTTATTTGTTTTAACACCATATAATATTAATCATAAAATATAAAAGTTTTGACGCGGAAAAGTGCTTTTTAAAACCATATTACATTTGTTACTTAACTTTGCATTTCACGTATTTATCTTTGTCTTCAACAGTACGAGATTAATTATTTAAATAAAATGCATGTCAGTGTGCAGGATATTGGGAGGATCAATAAATACTGCCCAGAATATACCATGTTTACAGTAGTTTCATTTAAGGATAGGCTTAATATACTGATTGAGAATGGAGGAAAGTATATTGATCATCTGTAGTGTACAAACATATTCCATTACCAACGTCGAGGGGACGAGGAAATAAGTTACAAGAGAACTTCACAGACGTTTTGGAAAATTTTCTTAAATGTTAGAAAGTTTAAGTGTAAAAAATGAATGAAACCACCATATTTAAAACCACCGTAAAGCTCCAGGTCTCGGTTCTTCGGAAGGTCGTAGTTATGTAGAAACCGGAGACATGTTATTTTATTTTACTTTTTTGAAGTTAATAAGAAGTGTTTCAACAAATCGTCCAGATTTTTTTTTTTACTTTAGTCAAGTTTGAATAGACAGTTACAAATTACGGCAGTGCCGTCGAAAGGTGATCTGATAGACTTCACTAATGGCTGACGACACACATCAACATAAAAACTAGTTGCCTCGCGCCATTGGTTTCTGTTGGTTTAACTCCTATCAAGGTGTCGTACGTTGGCAGAAAAAGTCACAGACTTCCGAAGAGCTGGGCGTGGAGAACCCATGATATAATGTGTTGACTCTTTCTGCCACTACATAGTACCCTGGTGACTCACAGTATAAGCAGAAACAAGAAACCTTTACCAACAGACCCTGATCCTTCATTGACCCCGCAGAGATCCAGAATGGCACGAAAATGTGTGTGTGTGCGTGCGTAAAGACTGGGGATCGTCTTCTTCCGATATACATTACCATTATTGTTAAGTACACTTCTCGTTCTTTTATCATATTCACGATAGTACACCGCAGTAGCTCGCGTTGATAACATAGCAAACAGGAGTGATTGTTCTACAAGTAGCTCCGCATAGGCTCGAACTATTCTGGCTTCAGGTCGGCCTGCAAAAACAGTCGAGACTCGCTGCGATAAGCCGTCCCTCCCAGAGTCCTAACACATGGCTTAGATCAAGCTAACTTGTTCTATTTCTGTGAGTTGAGCCATAGCGTACGAGTGGCGCCAAAATAGGTGGTGTTTAGGTGAATATGCACTTCGACAAGAATTATAGATAGGAATCAATTAAGACATAAATAGGACGCCTTTAAAATATATCTTTTACTCACTGTGGGTTAACCTACGAAAACCAACTGGAAGGTGGTTGCTAAAGTGAGAGTGTAACTTTTACTTCTCTTCACGTTGAGAAGTTTGGTAGAACAAATATTATAATTTATAGATTACCAACTATAGAACATTCTAGACACACATTTGGTAATGAAAATTCGTTTAGCTTCGTACAGTCCCCATTCTAGCCGAAGTTTCTGTAAAATAAGTTAAATGAATTTCCGATCAACAAATCAATTTCTCTGTTGCTTTCTACTTTTCTTTAATATTGAGCAAAAGAGAAGAATTATGGAACGAACATTTTCTGGACCTACTTAATGTAAAACATTTCTAACATAAAATATCATAAATTACACATAAACAGATAAATAAATATAAGACGATTATATAACAAATAATGTATAGTGTAAGTGGATCTGCCCTTCTCTCCATTATTTGATAAACATAAATGAAGTTTCTTATAAAAACAAAACAGATTTTTTTAATTACAACAACCACAAAGAAAGTGATCTTTAAATTGAGTGTCGTGAGAAGACATTCAAATCTTGTGTCATATGCTATTAAGCATCAAAGTCAAATTCACTTTGTCCATTTTTTTTTTGTTATTGAAAATCTAAATGAAGTGTAAGGATTTTTATCCTGATTTCTTCGAGATCTCCAATGTACCCTACTAAACTTTCTG